GAGGATCACCACCAGTTCAAGGCCAGCCTCAGCAATTTAACCCTGTCTCAAAATAAAATAAAATAAAATAAAAAAGAAAGAAAAAAGGACTGGGGATGTGGCTCAGTGGCAGAGTACCTCTAGTTTCCATCTCTAGTACCAAAATCAAAAAGGTTTCTTGGTTTTTTTTTCTGTTTTTATTATTGTTGTTGTTATTTTTTGTGCTGGGGATTGAGCCCAGGGCCTCATGCACTCTCTATCATGGAGCTATACCTGCAGACCAAAAAATTTTTCTTATTGTATTTACATATATTAAAGTTATTCAGTGACTGGGCAAGGCTAAAATATCCACCCCACCCCTTTTAAAAGAAGTCCTTACACTATTTGGTTTTCAGAAACACTAGTAGAGGTAGGTCAGGGGAACAACTGAAAAGCTGAGAAACTGAATATATGAAGGACAAGATTGTAGGCAAGACAGATCCCTTTAGATTGAAAATGAGTTTGAACTGAACTGTGGAAGTGGGATTTGAGAGAAAAAGACTACAAGATATGTTAACCAAATAGACTTTGTGGCTGGTTTAATACGTAGGATGAAAAAGAAAGCCCAGATATCAGTGATGGGATGGGTAATGCAGCTGTTCAGAAAACAGATTATAGGAAGAAACACTTTTTTTTTCTGGCAGAAGTTGGAGTTTGGGGTTAAAGGAAGATGATGACATCTTTTTTAATATCTTAAATTTAAGGTACCTTTTAAGCATTTTGGTTAGTAAAGTCCTGTAGTTTGGGAGACAGTTCAAGAAAGGAAAATAATTAACTGGGTGTGGTGGTGCTTACCTGTAATCCTAATGATTTGGGAAGCTGAAGCAGGAGGATCACAAGTTCGAGACCAACCTCAGCAACTTAAAGAGGCTGTATGCAACTGAGACAGATCCTCCAACATAAAAACATAATAATCGTGGCTGGGGATGTAGGTCAGTGTTAAAACTGGGTTCAATCCCCAGAACCCCCCCCCAAAAAAAAAAGGAATATAGTTTAGAAGTCTTCAATTGAAACTATGGAACTAGGAATTACCCAGAAAGAATATATTGAATGAGAAATGAGGCCAGGGATATTCTAGGTGTTTTTGGAAGAGTCCACAAAGGATATTGAGAAAAAAGATGCAAATATTTCTTGATATTAATTGTGGGAGTTACATCTTTTTCCCAACTCATCAATGTTCTCAGAAATATATTAGACTGCTTATTATCTTTTTTTTAATCTTAACCTCTGTAATCTATTTAAGTTTTAGAACTAGCCACTTTTCTTTCTCTTTTCCTCCTCCTCAATTTAGGAAAAAATAACTATGTAAGTATGTTAGTTCTCTACATTGTATATGATCAAAATAGCAGATACTTTAATGCAAGAATTAAAGACTCTTTTTACACCTATAATCCTTGGTAAATAGATGGAAATCTGACTCTGAAGATCTCTGTCATACAGAATACTCTAAAAATGGTAGGCTAGGCTAGGCTTTGGTATGAAATAATACTACAGTAGTTAGGGTACCTTGATATATATATACCTGTGGTCAATAAACATTGCTAGTGGAACTTTCCAGAAACAATTGATGCCAGTGAGAATAAGATATTGTAGTTTCACTTCTGACATTAGAGACTTGCATGTACAAAATGAGGAGCTATGGTGTAGGTCTAATTATAGCTAACAAAAAATCTTTTGTCAATTCCTTGAATTTAGGAATGAAAATTCTCATTATATCTTTTATTTTTATTTATTTATTTATTTGGGTATCAGGGATTGAATTCAGGGTGCTTAACCACTGAGCCATATCCCCAGCCTTTTTATATTTTATTTAGAGACAGGATCTCACTGAGTTGCTTAGGACCGCTCCAAGTGCTGAGTCTGGCTTTGAACTTGCTCTCTTCCTGCCTCAGCTTCCTAAGTTGCTGGGAACTTCCCAAGTTACAGGCATGTGTTACCTTGCCCAGTTCTAGTTATGTTTTTTTTAAATATTACTTGTCAGCCTGGGCAATGTAGTGAAACCTGTGAGACCTTGTCTCAAAATAAAAAGGGCTGGGGATGTAGCTCAGTTGTAAAGTGCCCCTGGGTTCAATCCCCAATATTGCAAACAACACCACCACCAAAATCCCCCAAATCAAAAACAAACAAATGAACAAACAAACAAACAAACAAACAAAAACACTACTTCAGACTACTTAAAAATACTACTATTCCTTCTCCTTATTATTTGATTAAAAAAATTTGTTAAAAATGTCATGTATCAATACTTATTCTTCTCAAGAAATCAAAACAGTGTTTGTCAAATTTGAAATCTTTGTTGACATCTAACATCTAGCATGTCACAGGACAGATTTTTGGAAACAAGATTTCAGGCTAGGCATGTGGCACACATTTGTAATCCTAGCAGTTTGGGAAGCTGAGGCAGGAGGATCACAAATTTGAAGCCAGCCTGTCTTGGAAACGGGCAAAAGCATTAGGGGTTTATTTCTGTGGTAAAGCACCCCTGGGTTCAATCCCCAGTGTTGCAAAAGTAAAGGTGTGACAGACTCTGGACAGATAGCATTGATATTCTTGAAGGCTTAGTTGATCAAATCTTGGTTGACACAGAAGCAAATTGAAATACTGAATTTGGACATATTCAAGGTATATAGTGCTATACTGGGAAGGAAGTTAAACTTTTGAAAGTGATGGTGGGGGAAATCTCAGTGGCTACAGATTAACTTTTCCTGGCCCAATAAGACATTTACCCCAGAGAGTTTGAAATAGGATGTGTGACTGTTACTTAGCATGCGTAATAATGTCTATATTTCAGTATTCTTTTATTTTTACAATAGTTAATGTGCTGTGATTTGCAAATCTTCAAACATATTCAGAATCTGGCCACTTTTTACCACCTCAGTTGTACCGTTACCATTATCTCTTTCTTACAGTATTGCAGAGGATTCCTAAATTTTACTGTGTATTAGAATCAACTGAAGATTTTTAAAAGTACTGATATATGACTTCTGTTAGCAGTCATTCTGATTCAATTGGAATGAGTTGCAGACTGAGCATCAGAATTTTTTGTAAGCTCCCTGTCTCTAACATGTATTGCCTCAAATAATTAGAAAACCAATTTTTCCCTGAAGAATTTGATTTTGATTGTGTTTTTCTGCTAGTAGCCTTGTTAATTTGGGACATTTCCATTTCTTAAAGTTTTAGAAGTTGTAGTGTATCTATTGTGTTTCTTAGTTGAGCATGAAAGCTGAGGATGGCTGATTTAAGCTGAAATAAAATTTACTGATAGGACAATGAGTGGTTCACAGAATTGGTAGAAGAATAGATGGAGCCAATTATAGAAAAAGTAAACTAACAAGGGGAGGGTAAACAGCTGGAACCACAGCAAAACTCATGTAGGTTGGACTATTATTGCTGTCTGATGAATAGTGATTCGATGATATTGATTGCACTACTGATACTGTTGGTCACTCCATGCCACCACTGGTTCTGCTGCCCTCTGAAACTAGACGTTGCTTTCACTGTTGCTGTTATTGGAAAGAATTATTTTGTCTCTAACTTTTCTGTGCCACTATCCTCCATATTCAAAATCCCTGATAGATGCATCTATTTGGGTAAGCATAGTCTGCTAGGACATGTGGGAAATCAAGTATCTGGAATTTTCAGTTTTAGTAGTGTAACAGAGATTTTGTATTCTACCAAAATTCTTGAAATAGAGAATTCTTCAAACACAAGCAAGGACTGCACCTGTTAGAAGTCAACAAAGTGAAAAAGGTCTATTACACATGATATAGCCTACCTACTATGTGTTCTTTATTTTATGCATTAATCTGCTGACTATTAAGGTATTATTTTTTGAGGTATACAGACCAATATAAAATACAAAATAGACATGTTTCTAGATACTGAACATATTCTGACTTTTTGTGATGGAAAATAACATATCAATATTTTATGTTAGTGCTGTTCAATAGAAAGATAACGTGGGCCACAAATGCAGTCAATCCATAGGTGTAATTTTCAATTGCATTAAAAAAGTTAAAAAAGATTTGTACATTGGTGTAGGCCTATAATTCCAGCAACCCAGGAGAATGGAGCAAGAAGATTGTAAGTTCAAGGCCAGCCTTGGCAAATTAGCAAGACCTGATCTCCAAATAAAAAGGGCTGAGGATGTAGCTCAGTGATAAAAGTGGGTTTACTACATAGGAAATAAAGATCAAAACCTCAGACATTTAATTTTAATAATTTATTTGTTTCAACCCAGTGTATACAAAATATTATTTCTAATGTAATTAATTTACTTAGAGCATACTTTACATTTTTGGACACTAAACCTTCAAAATCTAGTGTGTATTTTACATATAGAACACAACTCAATTTAAACTGGCCACATATCAAATGTGACATGTAGTCAGTGGCTCACATATTAGTGCAGTTCTTGTGATGTTCTATAAAATGCTATATGAATTGCAGTTACTGCTAGCTAAGCATGTTGGGATGAAATATTTTATACACATTATGAAAACAGGAATGAATATTTAAAAACTATAACCAAAGAGTAATAAGTGCTTGGTTGTTCATACTCAAAAAAGAAAACTGTCTCCTCAAATACAAAACAGTAATTTCACGTGCAGCATTTTATAATTTATTTGTGGTAGAGAAAGGGGAGTGTGAGATGGGGAGGAGAAATTCAAATTTTTTTCATTAAGTTTTTAAATTATTTTTATTTTCCAAACATTTAAGCTTGTGAAGTGTTGAGATATTTCAGATATTCCTTAAGGCAGAGGAAAGCAACATACAGTTTGTATATAAATAATCAAATTAATCATATTTTATTATATCTATGTGTATGTCACTACTAGGCTTAGTATCTGATGCTTTGAAAAAATAAGATGATAGTAACTGACTATACTTGTAATTTTAACTATTGTATATGACTTATTTAATGCTTAGATAATTAATGTCGATAATAAGTTTTATTTTCTAATTTGTTTTTATTTTTGTAGGCTGCTGAATCAGGAATAATAAAAGTTAAAACAATAGCTGCAAGAAACACGGAAATTTTGACAGGTAATTTTTTCCATTAAAAATTCAACAATTATGAAAAATTGACTAATACTAAAAGTAGAATCTTGAAAGAAAGCCATAAGTTTTCTATAGCATGTCTTTCTCATGCCCTAACATATTATATATGATACAGACTACAGGAATGTCCCAAACTGATTATTTTCCCAGAAATTAATACTATAAAATTCTCTGATATCAGAAAGATTAAAAGTTCTAATTCCTTAAAAGCAAGAATTTTTTTCTTACTGTTCTACCTCTTGCTTCTTAGTCCATCTTTAATATAAACAGTTCATAATGTAGTATTTTATATTTAGTAGTACCATTGAAGTTTTGATTCTTGGAATTAAGTATGGTGATGAAGAAAAGAATGAGAGTTTCTTTTTATGTCTTTTCTTGATTAAACTTGGTTTTCAAAGAGGAATTTTTAAGAGTTTCTATTTGGTATGCTTTTTCTACTCAGTCTACTCCTTTTTGGGTTTTTTTGTGCTTTCTGTTCTTACCTCAGTAAGGAGCATGGACTGGCTTTTTTTTTTTTTTTTTTTAAAGAATCTAATATATGTGAGTACTTGTGCCACTCTATCTTACATAAGACTGTCTTGTGGGGAGATATTATTTTATAGTAGAGCAACTTCACATGCAAATGAATTACTTGCTCGCTTAAGGTGACATGATAAGTAATGGAACCAGATTCAAATTCAGAAGTGTTCAGAGCCCAGCTTCTTCTTTCAGATGCCATTGTATCTCAAGCTTTTCACCCCAGCTACTTTCTCCCAGTGCTTCATATTTAATCATTGCTTGCTCCATTGATCCTTCAGCCTGTATTTCCTGTTCCAACAGTGCCTTTCCTCTCATCCAATGTAAGAGAAAAATAGTCTTATTAAGTTAGTTAACACAAAGAATCTCTTGAATTTTCATAAACTTTACATTTAAAACAAAGGATACCAATAAATCTCTAATTTGTGTTGTGAGATTTCAGAGTATTACAAAATGAGATAAAGATTCTTTGGGGGTGGTTTAAGAGTTGGGGGGCAAGTGTGGATTTTACTTAGGTTGCTCAGCTTTGCTGGAAATTGGTCCTTAGTGTTAGTTTTCTTGAGTTGCATCTGTTTCTTTCAGATTCTTCCCTGATTTTCATCAGTCTATTTAAAACATTATATATTTTTATAACATATTCACAAGAGTGAATAGTGTTCTGTGTGCATATTGAGGAGTGTGGTGAATGCAGTAGGAAAAGGCAAAGGTGTTTATGGTTGGGTTGGGAGGGACAGCAAGTAGATTTTGGGAGATGCATGTTGGTTAGATTAGCTACTGTAGGGGAAACAGTGTTTAAAGATAAATTATGACCTAAGATATTTTTAAGATAGACCAATCATATTAGAATATCATTGTGAATATTGATCTTTGATATTATTATTGTTGATACTATGGTAAGTCCTTAATTATTCTCCAATAATAGAATTTTTCGTTAGTTTGTAGTTGATGGAAGATAAAAGCCTGATTTCTTCAGAGAACCACTATTTCAGTGTTTTATGCTAAGTAAAATGTCCAATTATAAGAAAGAATAAGAAATTGTTAGTGCACATGAATTTAATATACAGGTAGACTGTTAATTTCATTTTAATTGTATTAGCTTTATTCAAATCATGTTGGAACAGATCTTTGTGCTCATACAGTGTGCTTTAATCTCCATAGTTTTCCAGAGTCATTTACTCAAGGTAGATTAGCATTTAACTTGATCCTGTTATTTTTTTTTATGAAGTATTGATAACAATTGATGCCTAAAGAATATAGATTCCATAGATCACTGTCATCTTGAAAATCAAAGACTCTCAAAAACAAAGATTTTATATTGGTCAATATAAAGTTCCTAAATTCAGAGAACAGTTAATACTGAAAAAATTTTTATTAATTTAAAAAATTTCCTGAGAAGTATATATTTTTTTTAATACTTGAAACCAAAGGATACTGCTTTTGTGTTGTAATGGTTGTAAAGATCCCACATAATTGAGGAGTCTCAGATGAGACAGAATATTGAATTCTCATATGTCTCTGTATATTCAGAATATATAAAATTGCTGTAAAAATCAGAGCCCTTAATTAGGCTTAACTAATCTAATTAATGATATTCAGCATAGATTTCTAGTCAGCTTTAGTTTCTTAGATTTATTTTCCAAGAGAACATCATTTATATTGCAACATAAATCTTTGCTTTACATCTCCCCTTTTAAGCATCCTCCTTTAATGTTTATTTTTCTTTGTTTTCACTGCTGTCATGAATGCTGACATAAGTGGAAATGCTATGCCAGGTAATGTCAGCATCGATTCAGATGTACAGATTATCTCAGATTTTTTTTCTTTAAAAATGAAACTCTGAAAATGAGAAATAACAAAGTTTTTTTATTTATAAGGCCAAATGCCTTAATTCCACCTTTGCTATATATTACAAATTATTATTCTAGCTGACACTGTACTAGAAATTGAAAAGGCATGTGTTAAACAGAAATCACATAATTCTGCTTTTTAAATGTATGTTTGAACAAGAAAATCAATCAAGTGTAATGTCTATTAAAATTGTATATTTAAACCCTACCCTAAAACGTATAGTTAAGTCTACCCATGGCTGCTTTTAGCTATTGTCAGTACACATACAGAATTTTTACATGAATAATCATTACGTATGATTTGTGTTCTTTTCTCACATGGTTTTCCATCATCTTTTCCATGTCTGCTTAGTCTTATAACTATGAGGTCTTTTAAGTAGCAATGAGTAAATATACTTCGGATATTTTTTCTGACATAAAAGGTAGTTTACCTGCTTATTTTAATATGTTCTATCTTTTCAATACATTTGCTTGTGATATTTTACAAACAAATATGGAATATATTGTGTAATATATTTTAATAAGTATTTATGTAAAAATTAGTAGGGGAGATAGAAAGTTGGGTGATGAAATTCACATATAATCTATATGGAAATACAAGAAATATATTTGGAAAAGTGTGTTTGTGCCATTTATTCTGTTTGGCTTACCTGCTCCTTCATTTGGAGTACTTTGCCAGAAATTTAACTTACCAGATGACTTTCTTCCTGAAATTAGTATCAACATCTTATTCTTTCTTATGTTGCTGGTATTTATCATATTATAAGGGAAATAATAAATCTCTTATTAAATGTAGGTTAATAAATGAATGACATTGTATAGAAATAGGTCTCTTAATATTGTCTTTACTATTTTTTCTACCTCTCTTTAATTTTTACATGTTATAATTATTTGAATACATGTATTATCATCCTTAGTTTATGACAACTAGATAACAGCACTCTGAAGAAGACAAACCCTAATTATAGATTTCTAATACTGAGTAGTAAAGGCCAATATGGAAATATATAGATAGGATTGTTATTGGAAGATTGATAGGAAATGCACCTAACCCACCTTGGGAATCTGAAGCTGAGCAAGCCTAAAAGAAAGGAGAGTTAGCCAGGCAAATAAAGTGTAGAAGTGGACTGCTTTAATAAACAGATGAGATATATAGCAGCTTGGTGTTATGTGGATCCACCAAAATTAAGTTATTGCTATAACAGTATGGAAGATATGGTTGAGTATACCATCACTGAGGCAGAGGTAACTGTTAGGTAATTTAGGCTAGAAAATATAGGGCATGTATCATGTTCACATGTTGACCTGTTGGGCCAGAGATTACATAGTGTGTCTACAACATAATGTGCTTTTGTTTATTTTTGCCTTGGATTTAAAAAAATAATAATTTTTATCCCATATTTTCTTATATCATAAGTTTTTTGGGTGGTTGGGGTTGGGGGTTGTGTCTGGGGATCAAACCTAGGATCTCACACATGCTCTGCCACTGAGTCATACCCCAGCCCTATCACAAGTATTTGATTTCATCTTTTTAAATGTTTTTAATTGCCATACAGTGTTTCATCAAGTGGATTGTACTTCCTTTATGTTAGGTGTATTCAATGTTTAGAATTACTTTATGATAAATTTCTAGAAATTTATAAAGTTGTAATGTTAAAGGGTATGAATATGTTTGAAGTGCTTGGAATGTATCACCATACTTTTTTTTTTTTCCTTTCTGGAAGGTAAACTTTTATGCCTTTACCAACAATATGAAAGTGTATTCTTATAACATCCTTGTCAGGATTATTGTTTTTTAGAAAAAAAAATGGTACTAAAATAAGGAAATGACTGTTCATTTTACCTGACATTTTTAAAATTTTATTTTTTAGTTGCAGATGGACACAATTCCTTTATTTTGTTTATTTTATTTTTTTATATGGTGCTGAGTATCAAACCCAGTGCCTCACACATGCTAGGCAAGTGCTGTGTTGCTGAGTTACAACCCCAGCTCCTGACATTTATTTTTGACATTGAACATATATTTCTCTGTATGCATTAAATTATTTTCTTTTTCATTTTACATTCACTTCTTCTGAGATTTTGTGTTTGCTTTATTAAGTTATTTGAGCTATTTTTATAGCAAAATATTAACTGCCGATTATGTTTTAATCATATTTTTGCCAGATCATGGACCTTTTAATTTTTTTAAACTCTAGATGCTTTTTATTTTTACCTTAAATAATTTTTCTGAATTCTTTTGTTGCTTTACATTTATGATGCCTTTCTCCTTCAACATAGTTTATAGTCATTTTAATTTTCTACTAGTTTTTCTGTGTCTTGATTTTTTTTCTTATTTTTTAATATATGGAATGACATAAAGATTTAGATTTTTTTTGCAAAATTGCTAATTATTCTAACATTGTTTGTTGAATAATTTTCCCTTTAGCTTGTAATGTGCTTCTAAAGTGAAACTACTATACTTTATTTGTCCTATTATTCTTGAATCACTTAAATATATTTTCAGACCTTTGAATCCACTAAAAATGTTTAGTGGTGTTAGAAACATCAAGTCTTCCCCAGAACCAGATTTTAAGCTTTTTGAAAATAGAAATAATGTCTAAGTCACAGTTTATTTCTTTCATAAGCATTACAATTTGTTATTTAAAGGCTGTTAAAATTTATCACAATAAAACTTTTATTAACCCCTGTTTATGTGATTTATAGTGGGGTATCCTAGTTTAATTCTTTTTTTCCAGGATAAAAACTGCAATTATGCAGTGAAACTGCTCAGAGCAAGGAAACCCCTAGGATATGGGGACCTGCTGGACCTCTTTCAGGTGTGTGAAAGTGCATCATTTGATCTCACAGTTATATAATTTGGAAATAACAGCATCTATCAAACACACAGTTGCTCTGTTAAAGTTGCTTATTAAAGGACTTAGGTATAAAATAAACTTTTTTCTTCTTCCCACAAAATCTTTTTTTATATCTTAATGGAAGCTGAAATTGTTTTAAAGGATCAAGCGATCCTTCTTTTTTTTGCTGTTTGAATGATATATAAAATAGTTAGAACAAGATGTCTTTATATTGTTCTACAATTTTTTTCTTCATTGTGATTTCTAAAATCTCTACTTCTAGGAAGGTATTTACATAAAGCTATCCTTAAATAGTATATCATTATAACCATTGTACGTAAAGAGGGGCATTCTCTCAGTTAAAAGAGCCAGGTTAATTTCAACTTCTGCATTACTGTCACATTTGAAGGAAGAAAAATAAACCAATAACTTAAAAAAAAAGATTTTTTCTGTTACTGAATTGTGATCTAGATATGGTAGATGTGTTTTGATTAAATAGATAAATCAATTTTATTATTTAGTTGATTATCTATTCTGGATAACTTAGAAAGTGCCATTTTTATATAAATTGGGAGCAGAAAAGTAGGAAAAGATGAGAGATAGATATTTAATTCCTTTGAATAACATTAAAATAAAGTTTAAAAAATTTATTTTTATTACTACCTTAAGTTTATTTCACCTTGGTAGACCTGAGTGTAATGGATATGTATACACACTTCACTATGATTCATCTTATTTTATTGATTCTAGGGTACATGGTTTTTTCACTTTTTAACATCACTTAAATTGGTATTCATCTTACAAATGATAGTATCTTTTAGAATCACTGTGGGTCAGGTGTGGTATAGTTTCCTTTGTAGGTGTGTGTGTTAATTTGTTCATATTATTATCACATCAATTGAGTTGCATGCATTGTTGATATCATATATGTTGAGTGTTAATTGCTATTTGAAATGTTCCCCTAATTGTTGTCAAAAACTTTTTAACATTTTACGGTAAGATAAAAAAAGATCAGCATCTAAATATTGCAGAATAGTGTCATGAAGAAAATCACAGAAACAATAGTGAGGTCCTCTTTGAAGAAATGAAGTATTCCCAATATTCTCCATATTCCAGAGGATGAAGTTGTGCAGAAAACTTTTAAGTGATTAGAAAGCATTTCCATTATTTAATTGGCTTTGATTTTCTTTGTGATGTTATGAGTATGTCTTGAATCATTGGCATCTTAGACTCTTAAGAAAATGCATTGTTTTCTTTTATGACCCTTCCTTTATTTATCTGAAGACTTTAGGTAGACAGTTTTAGTTATTTGTTTGTGATTCTGGGTGATCCAATCCAGTGCCTCCTGCATGCTGGACAAATACTCTACCACTGATCTACACCTCCAGCCCTTAGGAAGACAATTTTAAAGTACAAATGATTAAGTCCTCTTTTAACTTCATTTATCGTCAGGATGATAACTTGCTGGGAAGAATAGTGAACCAGGAATTAAAAGACCTATTTCAAATTCTTCTTGTACCATCTACTTACTGTGTCACTTAGACCTAATTGTGCCCTATAAACTATAAGGTTATTGTAATGTTCCAATGAAAAACATGGGCTAACATCACAAAAATTATGAATGCAACTTGTTTTTACTGAAAACTTTTAATTTTCCTGAACAACATTAAATAATAAAATAAACATTTAATGATAAAGTTTAACATAAATGGGGTAGCTTCAGACTTCAGTATTCTGTCAAGGATTGAATTTGGAAGGATGATTTAATCACTTCATTAAAGCTTTATGATTAGCTTTAAGGTCATATTTTAATCATTCATGTTTTGAAACTTCACTATGGAAAATTTTTGTCTTTAGGTTTGAATGAAAACCTTTGTGCATAAGGAAGCAAGGAAAAAAGTAGAGGAGCCCTTTTGCCAGTCTTATTTACTGTTTTTTTTTAGCTGTGTTAAATTGGTGATTTATACTGATATACTGAGGGACCTTTGTAGAGCATGCTCTAGGAAATTGTTGTCTTAATTTCCATAAAGAGAGCTTTTTTAAAAAAGATTTTCTTTTTTAGTTTTAGGTAGACACAATGTCTTTATTTTTATGTGGTGCTGAGGATCGAACTCAGTGCCTCATGTGTGCTAGGCGAGCGCTCTACTACTTGAGCCACAACCCAAGCCCCCCATAAAGAGAGCTTTGGGAGAAGTAAAGTAGGACTTAAAGAGTAAAATTAATGTTAATATTGGTTTTGTACTTTAATAATGATCTGGATGACTCTCAATTTCTTTTGAAAAACATTCTAAAACTCAGATTTAATTGTGTTTACGATGTCTTTCCTCCAAAAATAATTGATGGAATTAGGACCCTTTAAAACAAGTATCAAACTCATAAGTTTAATGTTCTCTTCACATGTTATTTATTCAAATACCTTGAAAGTGATAAACCTGTCTTATTCATCTTTTTGTAGCCTATCAGTAAATGGTTATTGACTTAATTCCATTTTATAAATTTAAATGTGTAAATCAGTTTGTGCATTTCCTAACCTCCTTCATTTTTGTCACCCCTTTAAATTTCTGAGAAGACTTGGCTTTGTTAGATATAAATTAAGATTTGAAGTTATAGCATATATATCCAATTAACTTACAGTACTGTTTCAGTAATATAGGGAGAAATGCTATAATATAGGGAGAAATGCTATTGTTTTTGATGATGTATGTTTATTTCTTGAAAAAGAGATTAGAGCTCTATGAATTTAAAGCATATAATGAAATTCTAAGGAGTTTTTGAATATTCATTAACGAGTGTGGTGGGAATGGTGTGCATACTAACTTCTTACTTATTTTCCCTTCTGCACTATAAGAAAAAATAGCTTCTGAGAATCCATGTCCTTAAAGAATTTATAGCAGAAGATAGAGAAGAATGAAAGGGCAGAGTGTTGGGAGAAAGGCATAGGAAAGCTGTAGTGATACAAAGTCTGTACTATGCATCCGAAGTATATTAACTCTTATTACTTGATTTTTATTTTGGTGTTTATATTATACAATATGGTTCTTATTAAAAGATTGACATTTGTTGTAATTATATAAAAATGTATTCCTAATTATGAATTAGATTTAATAATTTTTCCTATGTGTGTTCTAAATAAAGCATTGAAAGAGAACAGCTCAGAGGTTGTACAGCCTTTCCTAATGGGTTGTGGAACCAAGGAACCGAAGATCACTCAGCTATGTTTGGCTGCCATTCAGAGACTCATGTCACATGAAGTTGTGTCTGAGGTAATACAGAAATTTTATTTGAACTGCACATAGAGTCAGATCTGTATATTTCGTATAAAAGAATGAAACTTACCTTTTATTTAATGTAAAAGCTTTGTGAATAGCAATGTACTTGAAAAAAATGGCTTAATTTTAAAATATTGTCAAATTGTCTCCTTAAATACTAAAAAGTTACAAATAAGGATGAAATACATTTTGTCAAGTCATTTGTAATCTAAGTCACAATTCAGTAGTATAGATGGTAATGTTAGAATCAAGTAAGTTTTCAATATCATTGGAAATTTATTTAATAAAATTCTTGTGTTTTTTAAAAGGTAGGAGAGAAAATGATGACTATTTTCTAGATTATCTGAAGTTCTAATATGTTGTTCATTAACTTAAATATATTGTTAGTATCTAAACTGATGATGGTAAAACAAGAAAAAATATTTCATTACTATGAACCTGCATCTTGCTTTCAAATTTTACCTTAATTTTGTACTCCATAAGTACTACAAAAAAAGTGGTAGTTCTTTTGGTCTTGGTATGGTTTCCTAAACAATGTCACATTTAATTGAGTATACAATGTATTGTCAATTTGCATTGTATTTTATTTTTATAATGTATTATAAATGAAGTAATATATAAGAAAAGCAGACTCATAGTTAGCTTGTATATGACCATAACTGGATGAAAAATGCCTGTATTATTGTAGAAATTAGTTTTGACTTTGACTAGGTATTTCAGAACTGCATGCTGTTTGTTGCTATGTTATATTTTTAGGAAATTTACCTTTTTTTAAGAATATTATTAATTGGTTATAAGTATCAAACTTGTTAAGAGATGTGTTTGGATCTATAGGTCTAAAAGTATGATTTTTTTGTTACTTTGATAAAGAATATTCTCAAATATTTGACCCCTTTTTTTCTTTGGCACCTAAACACCTAAATTACTTGTTGATAATTCTTAAAATAATGTTTTACAGACTGCTGCTGGGAATATAATTAACATGCTTTGGCAGCTAATGGAAAATAGTCTTGAAGAACTTAAGCTACTTCAAACAGTTCTTGTTCTTTTAACAACCAATACAGTAGTCCATGATGAGGCACTTTCTAAGGTAGGAAACCTGTTTGTCAGTAGATAAATGCTTTGAGACAGTTTTTGAATAAGCTGGCTGAAAAGAACAAGTCTGGTGCTTTTGGAATCAAAAGCAACTTTCCTGTAGTTATCATGATGATCAGTATTGTACTTTAATAATCATTGGTGCCTTTGTTTTTCTCCAGATTAGACTTAAAATCATGTCAAGATCCTTAAGCAAAGCTCCTTAGGTATTGCTGATGGGTTTAGTTAAGACAAGAAAAGAGGAAGAGAGAAGTAAGAAGGAAAAATGTGTCATATGGTATTGCCTTGGCTATTTTAGATCCCTATTTTAGATAGCTCTCCCTTTTCTCCTTTTAAAAATAATTTCACATGTATATGTTATATAAACCAAACAGTTCAAATCTAGTCTCCTTTCAACATTATACTGGGTAAACCTGCATATGTAATGGTATTTCTCACTTTACCTCTCCCACCCTTGGAACATGTAACAGTTGTTTTATTCTTTAACTCTTTATTTAATTTTTTTATAAGGAAATAAACAGAGGGGAGACTAGTAGAGGAAGAGTAATAGGGGGAGGGAGGAAGGGAGGGATAGAGGAGGCACTGGGGACTGAAATGGAGCAAATTAAATTCCATGCATGTATGATTATGCCATAATGAACCCAACTATTATGTAAAACTATAATGCACACAATAAAAGCATTTTAATTAAAAATTTTTTAATTATGAAATATTTCTAAAGAATAAAAAGTACAGAGTAATATGAAGAAAGTCTTCAATTAATGATTTATTGTCTAAGGATTGTTTTGGATTTTCAATAATAGTTTAATTATAATTTGCATGCTTTTAAGGATAGACAGCCTATAAAGAAGCATACCATTTTTTTTGGTGGTGGGGTACCAGGGATTAAACCTGGGGCCCTTAACCACTCACTTGAGCCACACCCCTAGCCCTTTTTAATTTTTTTATTTTGAGACAGGGTCTCACTAAGTTGCTGAGGCTGGCTGCCCTTGAACTTGTAATCCTCCTGCTTTCGTCTCCTGAGCCACAAGGCTCACAGGCATGCCTGACCATGTCCGGCCACTGTCATATTAAACTATGTATATTATTTCAAGTGGTTACATCTCCCTCTTTTCAGTTGTTAATTTGATGTTATTAGGTCATTGTGAGATTTTATTTAATAGCAAATAGTTTATTCTTTTAACTTCACATCTGCTACAGAAAATGTTTTATGTATTTTTGCATACTCTTTTAATCACTGTTCCTCTTAGTTTCTTGCTATCAAATTATTGTTCTTTTATATGTCAGTTGTCCTACTAAACAAATAAGAACTGATCACAGGGTTTATTTTAGTGTGCTAGCAAGTTGGAAATAAAATATTTGGGGATCAAAAATCAAGAATAAAGAAATAAGACAAAATTGAGAAATTTGAAAGCTTCTGTGTATCTATAAAATATGCTTTCCTTTATACTGAAATATAAAAAATAATAGTGATATCAAAGACATTTCTTTAAAAAATTTTAACAATAATTAAAGTAATAAGGTATAGAATCTGACTTACCATTTTATTTTTTTCACAAACAACCTCTTTTTAAACTATGAGACTCTCAGAAGAACATATAGGGCAAAATTATTGTGATATTTGGGTAGACAAAAATGTTTTAGAGTACAAAATCCATGAACTATAAAAGGAGCCATAAAATGGAGGAAAATATTAGCAAATATCTGACAATAGACATATATCTAGACTATATAAAGAACTCTTATAAAGATTAACAACTGAGTAAAAATGGATGAATGATTTTGACACTTGACACAATAGGATATTCAAATGGCAAGCAAACATATGAAAAGAGAATCACCATTATAATTTATCAATGAAATGTAAATTATAACCCTAAGGAGTCATCATTATATATCCATTAGGATACAGTTTAAAAAGACTTACCATTTCAAGTCCTCTTGAAGATATTGAATAGTTCTGAACTCATACATACTACTGGTAGGAATGTAAAATTGTAAATCTATTTTGGGAAACTGTCAGTTTCTTAAAAAGTTAAACTTCATTACCAGATGACCCAGCCAGTTCACTCCTACATGTTTTCCCAAGGTGAATTAAAATGAACTCACAGAGACTTGTATGTGAGTTTTTAAAGCAGTTTTATATAAAGTAGCCCCAAACTGAAAACTACCTGAGTGTCCATCAACAGGTGAAACGATAAACAAAAATTTTATACTGTATCGTGGAATCTATTTAACTACTCATATACAGAACAGCATAGATGAATAACACAATTATTAATTAAGCGAAAGAAGCCAGACACAATACATAGTGAATGAATCTGTTTATAAAGTTGTACAAAATGCTGGCTAATCTCTAAAAAATAGCAGATGGGTGGTTAACTGTGGCCAATGGTAGAGGAAGAGAAGGACTGCAGAGGTGCCCAAAGAAACTTATGAGATTATCCAAATGCTCTGTATTCTGATTATGGCTCTATTTCTGAGGACCTGCGTGTCAAACATAACTCATTAAACTATATACTTTGAAGGGATGCAGTTTATTGTTGTAAATTACACCTTAATAATGTTGATTTTAAAGAGAAAGGAAGAATGACTCTGTAAAAACACACTATATGTGTATTTATTTATATACCTAGCACTTTGTATAATTTTTCTCCAAATGATTTAATGACGTATCAAGTGTTTAATTCTAACTATTTGCAGAGCAAGTCATTCTGGGGAAATAAAAGCATGATGCATTATTACACACATGTTAAAAGAATCAAATTTTGCTGGGCGTGGTGGTACATGCCTGTAATCCCAAGGACTCAGGAGGCTGAGAAAGGAGGATTGGGATTCAGAGCCAGCCTTAGCAAAGTGTTAAGAAACTCAATGAGACCCTGTCTCTAAATTAAACAAATAAATAAATAAAATTATAAATACATAAAATTGTTTGTTTATTTATTATTTTATTTAGAGACCCCTGTCTCTAAAATATTGCATACAATATTTGTCTCTTAAATTTATCCATATAACATTTGTTGTATCATCAAATCATTTGGAAAACAAAAGAGACCCTATCTCCAAATAAAATAGGGCTTGAGTGTCCCTGAGTTCAATTCGTGATACCAAAAACAAAAACAAAAAGAAATCAAATTTTTTAAAAAAGTGTATTTCATATTACATTAGCCAATCTTACATGGCTATATTGGTTACCAAGAGTTTGAATTATTTTAAAATCTGAGAGTTTTTTTAGTTTTATTGTATAAAAAGGTGAGACACTAATCTCTGAGAAACAGTTATACATAAATTATTTAATTTGAGGTTACATCTGATAAAGCTAATGGCCATGCCTTCAATCTTATTTCACACTAAATGAAAATTGTTTTTGTAGGCAATTGTTCTTTGTTTTCGACTACACTTCACAAAAGATAATATTACAAATAATACAGCTGCTGCTACAGTGCGACAAGTTGTTACTGTGGTTTTTGAGAGAATGGTTGCTGAAGATGAACGATACAGAGGTAAAGTGATAAAAGTTGTTTCCTTTTGATTTGGAAATGTTCTTACATGCATGATTCATTTTCATTAATTTTTAGCATTTTCCCTGTGAGCACAGAATATCTAAAAACTAGAAAACTTTAAAAATATTTATTTTAAGATATTTATTTTAAAATACTATTGTCAATAACAGAAGTTTTGAAAATAAATCCCTCACAATTTAGGAGGCTTTTGCTTTTCCAGTTTTATTTATAATGCATACATAATTGTGTATTGAAGATAATAGTTTCACATTTTCTGCAGTTTGTATTTTTTCTTATACTGCATTTTTTGTATTTTTACCCAAACATTATATCCTATAGATTTTTCATGTTATTCTTTTATCTACATAATTTAAAATTTGATAGCTACATTGTATTTTTTGTCTATTCTGTAATTTAGTGAACTAGTCTTCTATTGGATATTTGCATGGTATTTGATTTAGAGCTATTTTAAGTGCTAAGTTGGGAAACACCATTCTAGTTGACTCTTAGCCAGTGAATATTTATAGCTGACAGATTAATAATGGCAGATCAGGCAGTTAATTCTTTTGAAGATGGTGAGATAATAGAAGAACTAACCATAAGGTAAACTTTTTACATTTATTTGATACTTAAAGGTACATTGAAAGATCATGTGAATTTTATATCTGTGAGACAAAGAGGCCAAAATGGGATTTTAGGAAAATCAAATGCATGGACAAAGATATGAGGCTTATTAAAGTGATTATAAGATAATGAAGAGTGATTTTTAATGGCATTTTATATAAAAATAGATCCTCAATTATGTTTTCATTCTGGGGACATAGTTCTGAAGTTATAATTAAAGTTTATAATTATATAATTAAATAGCTTATTTAAAATATATCCTTTAAACAGAATATAAGATTTATTAAAGGCCACTATGAACTCCTAAAACCTATCCTATTTTGATTGCAGATATTATAGAACAGCCAGTACTGGTGCAAGGAAATAGTAACAGAAGATCTGTCAGTACTCTCAAACCTTGTGCTAAAGATGCATATATGCTTTTCCAGGTATTTCAGTTGATAAAAATAATTTTTATTATACAGTTTTTTATGACTTTCATTTTAGAACTTTTATATCTAATTTAGTTTTTAGTATGAATTGTAAAAAACTATTTCAAAGTAGGTATTAAAATAGTTCTAAAAGATTAAAAACAACTTTTACATTTACAGTATAGCTAATTAACATAATAAAATATTGCAATTCACTTTAAGGAAATAAAAATGTATTGCCAGAACTAGAGATTAGATATATTAGAGATGACTAGTTATACAAAAAAATATTTTTTTCAACAAAGAAAATTTAAGAATAAACCTATGATCTATATTATATAATTTGATAGAAGCCTACTTTTTACATCATTTCTCATGAATGAATTGTTTTAAATAAAATAAAATTCATCTGTACTGAAAATTTTAATTTTCATTTAGAATGTTAGATCAATTATTTGTCTATCTACTCCATCTGCTATTTATATGTCAATAGTTATATGATTCTATACATATTTACATATACAATTTAAATTAGCTATTGCTTAGTTTCTAAAGAAGGGAGGTTTTATTCTCTTTCTTTTTTTTTAAAAATTTTATAAACTGAGTTTTTAGAAAGCACATTTCCTCCTAACACATGAAATTGTTTGATTTATTTTTCCAGGATCTTTGTCAATTGGTTAATGCTGATGCCCCTTACTGGCTAGTAGGCATGACAGAAATGACTCGGACATTTGGCCTTGAATTGCTTGAGTCAGTCCTCAATGATTTTCCACAAGTCTTTTTACAGGTAAGCCATTAATAGTATTTTTTAAAAAAATAAATCTTTAATTTTTTTCACAGATATTTTTGAAAAAAAAAACATTTTTTATATGTTAATAAATGCAAAGATTTAAAAGCTCCAGAGTTTAGACATATAATAATTTACTATTAGCTTACTTTTTTTTTTTTTTTTTTAATACTGGGGATTGAATCCAGGGGCTCTCTACCACTGAGCTATATCCCCAGTCTTTTTTTTTTTTTTTTTTTTTGAGACAGCGTATTTAAGTTTCTGAGGATCTTGCTAAATTGCTGAGGCTGGCCTTGAACTTGCATTTTTTAACCACAATCTAGCTCTTTCTCTTACTGTGCTGTTTCCCTCCCTAAGTAATGTATTTTGTCCATTGTTTTTATCTACAAAATGTGTGAATCAAGTGTAAATAGTGTAAGGTCTTTTTGGGCTTGAGAATTTGAGCTAAGATTACTTTTATGTGGTTCATAATTTTTGGTATCCATTAAGCAACTATTAACTGCTTTTGGTGATAATGAATTGTATTTACTGATGATTCTTTTCCTCATGGTACAGTAGGAAAAGCAGTAGATATAACTTGTCCAATAGTTTTGTGTAAAATGGTTGTTATTGTCATAATAATCACTATTGTTTGACTGTCATCTAAATGCTATGTGCCAGATTCTTTACACATCATATTTTCTTTAATTTTCCCAAATGCCTTAAAAGTACTAGTTATTCCTATTGTCCCCATGAGGAAACTGTAACTTGCAGAAAGTTAAATACTTTGTCCAAGATTTCATTGTTTGTAAGTGATAGAGTTGGGAATTGTACTCATGTCAACCAAATTCCAAATTAGCTTTTCTTCTTTTCCTTTCTTCTTTATTTACATCCTATATCTCAGTCATTATCTTCAAAATATATTCAGGGCCCAATTAATTCTAAACCATTTCTACCACAATAATCATCCATTCTCACCTAAATTATTGTGTTAGTTTCCTAACTGATCTCCTATGGTGTACACTTGTCCTACGTGTGTGTATGTGTGTGTGTGTGTGTGTGTGTGTGTGGTGTGTGTGTGTGTTGGTAGTGCTAGTAGATTGAACCCAGGATCTTGTATGTGTATGTAACACTATATTCGAATGGGTTTTTCAAAGATGTCATATCTTTTTAGTCTCTCTCTCTTTTTTTTTTTGTCCTGGTGATTGAACCCAGGGGTGCTTAACCACTGAGCCATGTTCCCCAGCCATTTTTTATATTTTATTTAGAGACAGGGTCTTGCTGAGTTGCTAAGTGCCTTGCTAATCTGCTGAGGCTGGCTTTGAACTAGTGATCCTCCTGCCTCAGCTTCTGGAGTTGCTGGGATTACAGACATGCACCACCGCACTCAGCCTTTACAGTCCTTTTTAAAAATATGTCAGTTAATGTCTTCTTTACCCAGAATAAAAGATGAAGCCCTGTTTTGATATGTGAAACTTGCCATAATTTAGTCTTCAATTTCTTTGGTCTTTTATCTCATTTCATTTCTTGCTTTGGCCTCATCCTTTAGCCATACTTCACTTAAGCACATTCTTGCCTCAAGGCCTTTGTTATTTACTGTTTTCTGGATTTGGAATGCTTTTCTTCCATGTGGTTTACTCTTATTTCTCTGAGGTTTTTGCTCAATGGTCTACTTAACAGGCATTTTTTCCCTAACCACTTTGTGTAAAATGGCACACTTCTTAATGTCAGCACACTTATTTTTCCAATCCTTCTTTGTATTTATTATCTACTGATATATAATAACATATTCAGATTTATTATACCCATGAAATTTCTATGTTATTCTTCCTACTGTAGTACAGAGAGATAAAGTAATTCTTCTATGAAAGATCTTAGAATTTAGTCCTGAAAAAATTTTTCAGAGACAGATATTAGTTTTCTTTTACTCATCATTCACACATATATTCAAAATTTACCAGTCACTCACAGTGTATTGGTCTGTGTTCCATGCCAAGAATATGACAGGTAAAATCCTTGCCCGTATGACCCATTCACGGCTAATGAGGAGAAACGTATTAACTTAATGATAACACATGATGACTCCTCTTCAGGAAAAACAATTAAAAAAATACTATGCAAATGAATTACTTGGATACCAAACTTGGTAGACTAGTGGAGATGAATAGAAGAGATGATGCTTAAGCTTGTACTTGAAGGATGAAGTAAGTTAGATTTAGGCAAAATGGAAAAAGAATACTTCATGCAGAGTGTATTTCAAGAGCAGTTACATTAGGATAGGAGCTGTTTTCCTTTCTAAAAAATAAGCTCTAGGATAGGGGCATTGAAAATTGTACTTAATTCTGTATCCCTTTCTCTAGCACAGTGCCTGGCAAGTAATTGCTGAATCAATAAGTGAAGTAGTTTAGTAGGTGATGAAAAATGCAGTCTTAGAGATGACTTCTATCTTTTTGGCCCAAGCAGTTAATGATTTGCTAAGATGAAGTACTCGGTGGACAGAACTTTTATTATAAGAAAGATATTATTTAGTTTCATACATATTCATTTGGATTATCTGTGAGACATGCAAAATGTTATTTGGACTTACATGCATCTTGAAGTTTGGGGCTAAGACTATATTCCTTTTCCATAAGATTAAAAAGATTAGTTTGGATGATTTTTATGATTCTTTCTTTGTTTATAATAGCTTCAATGAAATTTTATGTGATTAAAACACCAAAATAAAATATACTTGAAGTTAATCATTAAGTGCAGATCGTGCCTAGTTTGTCACTAAAATGAGACTACTCTTAAGTAACAGAGAATAAGAATCAAGGGAGGTTTTCTGTATAATATATGATGACTACAAATAAAATTTAAGAATTCTTTAAAAAATTCTCCATCTTATAAAATTGTGCTAGGTTGTCATTGCATATTTCACCAGCTTGTGTTATGTTCAAGTAATCCAACTAGCACAAAACCAAGTTATTTATTAAATCTTCTCTATATGAATGGGATTATTCTTTGCAAAATATAATCAGTGAATTTTATAACTTATTCTACTTAATTAATCAGGTTTTCACTCCTCAGTTGTCTATTCAACACTGTTTGCTTGTATTTGTGAAATCTGTTTTCTTTTATTCTTTGTTTTTAATCACCAATATCCAATTAAAAGTTTCTAGTAATGAGCACCAGTTCCTCAACTCTAAAATCATTCATGTTTCTTTTTAATGATTATAGAAGAAACTCTTGAAATATTAATATTTTGTTCTAAGACCTCTTAACAGCAATGTGAGTTTCAAATTTGTGTGCAAATTGTAAAATAATAAAATATATACTTACAATTAAGCTAAATTATTTATACTGATTTTTATTTGCTAGCTAGACTATTTTAGAGGTATTGAGTACGAACTAATTTCATTCTTTTTTCTTCTTTGCAAATAGCACCAGGAATTTAGTTTCCTCCTCAAAGAAAGAGTATGTCCTCTTGTGATAAAACTCTTTTCTCCAAATATAAAGTTCAGACAAGGTTCAAGTACTTCATCTTCCCCAGCACCTGTTGAAAAACCATATTTTCCTATCTGTATGCGATTGCTGAGAGTGGTTTCTGTCCTGATTAAGCAGTTTTATAGTCTTTTGGTAAGTGCTATTTTCCATACATATTTGTATAAATTCATAAGCAGTGCTTTTTAAAGAAAGTGGTCTATTTATGGTGTTAGTTTTTTTTTCAATTCAGTTCTACAGAATTGTTTTTGATTACATACAAGTGTTCTCTCAGGTACTCTAAAATTTCATTCTGTCCTTTTTTTGAATCTTATTTGCATTTGTATAGTATTTATAATGTATGTCAAGGAGAGTAATAACCTATTATCTCAAAGCAGCATAGGATTTATTTTTTAAGAATTCAGCTTTTTATGCAACTCATAATAGCCACGTTATGGAGCCAGCCTAAAAGCTTATTCACAGATGAATGTATAAAGAAAATGTGGTATATATACACAATGGAGTATTACTCAGCCATAAAGAAGAATGAAATTATGACATTTACCACTAAATAATGGAACTGGAGACTACCATGCTAAGTAAAATAAGCCAGAAGCAGAATTCAGAGTTAAAATGTTTTATCAGATATGCAGAAACTAGCCCAAAATAAGGAAAAAAAGAAAAGGTAGGGAAAATTCTATCAAAAAAGAAGAAAAATCAGTGGAGTTGAAAAAGGGTTAAGAGGGAAGGAGGAAAGATTGGTAAGGAAAGAACAGTGGAATGAATCTTCCCTAACATTCCTATGTACATACAGCAGTGAATCTTGTTATTATGTGTAACCACAAGGCACTACTTAAAAAAACAAACAAAAAAACTGTAATAGCAGAAAGATCAGTAGAGTGGAGGGAAGAGAGTAGGGGGAGGGAAGAGGGGGGAAAGGGGAAATACTTGGGACAGAATTAGAGCAAATTATATTCCATGCTTTTTAATTATGTTAAGTGAATCCTAATGTTATATGTAACTTTAAAGAACTAATAAAATAAAAACAAAAGGAGAAGGACTCAGTAAGATGCGATATCCATGTTCACATTTCTGACTAATTAAAATTGGAGTTGTCTTTGTTACTATAGTTAGGAATATTTTCAAGTTTCTAAGATAAAAGTTGAAGATTCTGATTTTTCTATTTCTTGCAGTTGTTACAGAAATAATTTCTAAATAATTTGTAACAAAAAGAATTCAACTTTGTAGCTCATATGAATAATAATTAAAATTATAGTATCCAGTATATTCTGCTTTTATTTATACTCTTTCATATGTCTTCACAGATTAAAGCAAATTTATTAAAGATTTGATGAAATCAAGGATAAGAAATATAATATTTTTCTTTACTTCTAATCCACTTTATATCTCTTTTTGCATAACTTTATGATGTGGAATATGTTGTAATATTCTTGATCGTAATGCTATTTCTGTTGTGGTTTCCTCCTAAACAATCAAGTGGTATTTCTCAGAAAATGGTTCATTATAAAAAAAAAAAAAAGAAAATGATTCATTATATTTCTTTTTAGTTTTATTAATTAAATTCAGTATCATAATATTTTCACATTTGTAACTTTTAATGAACAAAAGTAGACAACACAATAATAGTAAGAGACTTTAGTATCACATTTTCTATAGTGTGTAGAACAAGTGGACATAAGACCAGTAAGATTTGTAGGGAAACACAGAGGGCCTGATCAACACTGTAAACTAATTGGACTTAAGAGCATGTGTAGAATACTGAACCCAACATTAGCAGAACACATAATCTTCTCAAGTGCACATGGGACATTCTCCAGTATAGATCACGGTAGACCATATAAGGCAAATTTAGGTCTTAACAGATTTAGGAAGATTAAAATCATAGTAAGCATCTTCCTTGACAACAGTGGAATAAAACCAGAAATTGGTAGAAGAAAGAAAATAGGGGCAATTAAACAACACACTCTTAATGGTTCAAAAAATAAATCAGAAGGGAAATAAGAATATATGTTGAAACAAATGAAAATGAAAATATAACTTATGAGTTGCCATAAAAGTACTATCAAGAGAGAACTTTATGGTAAGGAATACCTTCATAAAAAGGAAGAAAAATCTAAAATTTGCAATTTAACTTTGCACCTCAAGTGTGTAGAAAAATGAACAATCTAAATCCAAAGTTAGCAAAAGGAACAAAATAATAAAAAATTACAGCATAAATGAAATAGAAAAATAGATAACCACTGGGAGTTGGTTTTTGTAAATATCCATAAAATCAGCAAACCCTTAGTTAGACTAAACAGAATGCTTAACTAATTTCAGAAATGAGAGAGGAGAAAGCTGATGCCACGAAAGTATAAAGGATTATAAAGGACAACTATGAATAGCTATACAACAAAAAATTGTATAACCTTGAAGAAATAAATTCCTTGAAACTGACAATCTACCAAGATGGAATCACAAAAAAATTTGAATAGAATCATAACTAGTAAAGAGATTGAATCAATAATCAAACATCTCATAACAAAGAAAAGCCCAGAACCAAATGGCTTCACAGGTGAGCTCAAACACTGAAAGGAGAATTAACACCAGTCTTTCTCAAAAATCTTCCAAAAAATTGAAGAGAAGAAAATACTTCCAAACTCACTGTATAACGCTAATATTACCTTGATTCCAAAGTCAAAAGATATTATAAGAAACTATAAATCAGCATTCCTGATGAATATTGTGACAGAAATTCTCAACAAACTATAAGGAAACCAAATTCAGTTGCACATTAAAAGATCATCAAGGGTTGGGGATAGAGCTCAATAGAGTGCTTGCCTCGCATGCACAAGGCCCTGGGTTCATTCCCCAGCAACACACACACACACACACACACACACACACACACACACACACACACACACGTCATTAAAACCATGACCAAGTGGGATATATTTCTGGAACAGAGGATATTTTAACACAGGGAAAGCAGTTCATGTTGTCTACCATGTTGTTTTGTTTGTCATGTAAAAACAAACACATGATCATCTCAACTGATTTAGGAAAAGCATTTGATAAAATTCATTACCCTTTCATAATACTCAGAAAACTAAAAATTGAAGTAAACTATCTCAATATAATAAAGACGACCTATGAAAAATCAGTAACTAATATCACAATCAAAACTTTAAAGTCTTTCCTGTAAGGAAACAAGGCATGGTTGCCTGTATCTACACTTATATTCAACATAGTACTAGAAGTTCTAGCCAGAGCAATTGGGAAAGAAAAAGAAATGAGTCATCCAGACTTGAAAGGAAGAAGCAAACATATCTGTTTATAGATGACATGATCTTATATGTAAGTAGTCCTAAAGAATCTGTACAATACAACTTATTAGAGCCAATAAACAAATTCAGCATGCAAAAATCAGTTGTATTTCTATACACTAATAATGAACAATTCAAGAAAAGAAATTAAGAAAGCATTTCTACTGACCATTGAATTAAAAAAAATACAATATTTAGGTATAAACTTAGCCAAGCTGGCCAAAGACAAGTATACTAAAAGCCAAAAATATTGCTGAAAGAAAGACACAAATGGGAAAACATCCAGCATTCATGATTAGAAGATTTAATTTTGTTAAAATGATCATACTACCCAGAGTGATCTGCAGATTCAGTGCACTCTCTATAAAAATTCCAACAGCATTTTTTACAGAAATAGAAGAATCCATTCTAAAATTTATAGAATCTTGAAGGACCTGACTTGTCAAAATGAATCTTGAGAAAAAAAGAACAGATTTGGAGACCTCACACTTCCTGATCTTAAAGCATATTGCAGAACTAGGGTAATCAAAGCAGTTGGCTACTGGCACAAAGAAAGACATAAAGACCAGTGGAAGAGAATAGAGAACCCAGAAATAAGCCCTTGCATATATGGCTAAATGATCTTTAATAAGAATGCCAAGATCACTCAATGGGGAAAGGACAGCCTCTTCAACAGTAGAGCTAGAAAAGTTATAATGAGGAAATTGTTAAGGAAGCCAGCACCTACCAGAAGAATGAAGTTGTATCTTTACCTTATATCACAAAAACTCAAAATGGATATACCACCTAAATAGAAGACTTAAAATCATGAAGTTTTAAATATTTTTGTTGATAGACCTTTATTTTATTTATTTATATGTGGTGCTGAGAATCAAACCCAGTGCCTCATACGTGCCAGGCAAGTGCGCTACCGCTGAACCCCAGCCCCAACCTTCCCCATACCTTTTTTATTTTTTATTTTGAGACAGAGTCTCACCCAGTTACCGAGGCTGGCCTTGAACTTGCAATTTACCTGCCTCAGCCTCTTGAGTCCCGGAGATAAAGACATGTATCACCTAACTAAAAATTTTTTTCTCAGGAAGAGAAACAATAAGAGAGGTAAACAGGGAGCCTACATCCTGGGAACAAATTTTTACTCCTCACACTTCAGATAGAGCCCTAATATCCAGAATATACAAAGAACTCAAAAAATTAAACAATA